AATCGCTAATTACCAACCAGGATTATAATCAACTGTACCATGCATGATAGGGAAAATAATAATAAAGTTTGTGTGTATGTTTGTATGATTCCATATTTTAAACAACAAAAAAGGAATATATTTTGGCATAAGAAACTTGTTAGCGTCCTTCAAGTCGAGTTAAACGTTTGATGACACTATGGACAAATATTCTTCAATGTGATCTGTCAGTGACTTTCACTCTCAGCTCATCTAGTGACATTCTTGGTAGCTTTATTGACCTCTTCTAGCGAGATCCGTGCATGTTTTTCTCTCTTCATTAAAGTACGAGATCTACGTATTCTTCGTAGATCGCGAAATACGTGGTGTCGCTGGAGACCCACTGGCGATTCTCCACCAAACTCTGCAGCGCTGGTAGAGGCGCCATATTAATTTTACATAGTGTATATAATGATCTTTTTTTATAATAATGCAGACTGTGCACTTTGCATGTATTGTCAAGATGTCAATAAAATTATTTTAATTGACAAAAAAAAAGTGTCTTCCTTAAATTTCCCAACATCAACATCTTTTATGAACCATTTTCTCTCATTATAGGTTTGAAGTAGGTCCGTCTTTGTTTACATATTTGGGATTATAGGGATCCACCTCCCTGCAGTCCCCCCTGGACCCTTGGAATATTTTAGCAAATTCTGGTTCATTTCCAAGGTGACTAACGTGGCAACGGAACCCATTTTCCAATGAAGAGCATTGGACACGACAACAACAACGGAATTATAGGGATCAAAGGAGGTGATGAAGTCGCCAGAGACGAAAACCCTCCATCGACGTAAGCCAAATTAGATTCCAATTATCTTTTTAAAATTATAAATTGTCTTAATGTGAGAACCTTAGTCGAAACACAGGAGTATCACGTTCAATAATATCAGATGCTTTTCGTCGAAAACTAAATATTTTGTTGTTTGAAGGCCCAAGTATAACGTTAAAAGTTGTTTATAATACAATATAATGCAGCTTATGATTGTAGAACGACATTTGAAAATTATCCCGCATGTGTTTCTTTTTTAACGAAAAATCGAAGTTTATTTTAAGGAGAAATAATTATTATTTCTAACCTTAAGGATGAAGTATGAAAGGATGAATTGTGAAGAGTAATGATAAACGAAAAAAAAAAAGTGTCCAGGAATGGGAATTAATTCCAAGAAACACATGCGGGATAATTTTCAAATTGTCGTTAAAAGTTGTGTTTCCCATTGGATGGGACGAGGAAAGCGAAGACTTAGAACGCGGCTGATTCTACACTAGCCTGCTCAGTGATACGCTAACCATGACGTATGCACGAAGGAACGTGTGGCCATTGGACATGCGCCGGACCAGGAGGCTGTTGTTGGGTGCTGCGCTGCCTAGAATACAAGAGCTCCATCTATGCTTCCTTTCTTCCTGTGGTGAATCTTAATAAGACCGGTGGTCTTAATAAAGCTTTGTGTGTGTGTTTCCCATTGGATTGTGTACCATTAAACTTGAATTTAATAAATTTATGCAGCCATATTCGAATTTCTGGTGTTTCCTAGCTATAGCCACGATGTTATTATCGGATGAAATTTTTTTGGAAGCGTCGAAAGTAATTATTGACTGTGGTCAATCAAAAATTTTCTTTTCAGAGATAACAAACGATGAGCCCGCAAATTTTAAAGGACGTCTTTTTGTCGAGTGAAATATTCTTATTTCTTATCTTATGTGTTAAAAAATACAACAGAACAATCACAAATAATCCAGACGAATATTCCAAATATCTAAAGGTTATTTTGATACCCTTCAAACAATATCGTTATTAAATATTTATTTTGTGCTACATGCATTTTCAAAATCGAGCTTTTCAAATCGCAAATTTTATTTTCACTTTTTTCTCTCTGTGTGTGTTTATAGCTATGAAATAATATTTATATCTATATAAAAGGCGAAATATATATTTATATTCAAGAATTGCCAACTATTTCAAAATATTGTGATACCTTTAAAATAGACTTGCCATTTTTAACTCTCAATATTTTTTCCAATGAAAAATGAGGTTTGAATATATTCTTTAATGGTCAAAAAAATCTGTTCAATAAAGATTTCAAACACTAATATAAAATATAGCTAATTAAGAAACCTATTACCATAAACTCTCCTATAACGCGATTAATGTGTTCCGTGTTGTATGAAATCGCGTTAAAAGGAATTCGCGTTGTACGAAAATAAAACTTGTATAACGCGAATGTTGTTAGGGTAAATTGTTTTATTTTATAACGCGTTATACGAAAATTCTCGTTGTATAAATAAATTTATCGCAATTTTTTTTATCGCGTTGTAAAAACTCGCGTTATAGGAGAGTCTACTGTGTATAAGAAATTCAAATTATTTTTGACCCGTATGATTCTTTTCAACAATAAAACAATCTTCTACTCACCTTACTGCAATGATAAAATATTGAGAAGACCTCGTTCATTAGTGATGAACTCTCCTAGCGGTTTAGTCATTTTCACCATTGATGAGTCAGGTCCTCCCAATATTTTATCATTGCAGTAAGGTAAGTAGAAAATTGAATTATTTTGAGAAAAATCATACGCATCAAGAGTATTTTAAATTTCTAATAACATATGGCACACTAATGCATCCTGTTAATATTACGTTTTAAAGATTTATTTAAAAGAGTTGGTAGAGAAGTGGTATAAACCGTCGAATTTTCAACAGTCATGATCCAGGATCGAATCCTTCTTTGGACATTTTTTTCCTGGAAAAATACTTCAATGGTAATGATTTATGCAAAAGTTCAATACCTACTAGTGGGTGTAAGTAACCAAATGGAGCTATGGCATACAGGTAAGTGAAAAAGTAGAACTGCTGTCTACAAATGTAGACAATACTTGCAATAAAAGCCGTCACTATAACTACTACCTATCGAGATAAACAAGAAGAGGTTAAAGAATAAGCTATGATTGTTATAATTTTACTCAAGGTAATATGTCTAGGAGCCTGGCAGGGCTGATTAAATCAGACTAGGCAGAGTAATCTCTAAAAGAGGGTGGAGGCTGATTCGAGCGACCCGATGTTGAAGCCCTGTTAAGATTGTTATGTGTTACCATAAAGACTGTATATAGTTGATAACTTCTGTGTATCTAGTGTTTGAAACACTACTAAGTGCAAAAGTCGAACTGCTGTCTACATGTGTGGACATGTGGTGACAATACCTACAATAAAAACAGTCACTAACTACTACCCACCTAGATAAACCAGAAGAAGAAGAAATAGAAGTTGTGATTCTTATGTCTTACCACCAAGACTATGTATAGTTGATAACTTTTGTTTA